TGGCAGTGTAGGCTAGTTAGCAAGGAAGTTCTCCACATTTCCTTAATTGCCTGCCGTCGTAAGGTACCATTGCCCAGAAGCCTAAGTCAAAGCGGTCTAACTATTCAAATCCAAGCGCAGCGAAGCTGGCTTGCGTTAGGTTGGTAGAATCGGTGTGCTGCGAAGGAACTTTAAAGGCTTGGACATTGGACCTTTCATTGTTAATGCTGTTAAGACACAGGTCTTCAAGGCATGAGGCTCGATTTGCATACCTGGAAAACCATTAAGTAGACAGCTGGAAAATACTACTGGGTTGTGCTTTGGGATAATTTCTAATTTCCCTCATTTCATTATAAAGGGAACATATTCGTAAATGATTTTCGAAGGGTTTAAAGCACAACCCAGACTAACAAATGTAGTTGGATTGTATACTCCGCCAGACGCGGGCCGATCCTTCGCTCCATGCTGGCTCGGCTAGCAACTATATACTATATACTTTATACTATATACTATAATACTATTTACTATAACACTATCTACTATATTACTATATACTATCTACTATAATACTATATACTATCTACTATAATACTATATACTATGATACTATATACTATATACTATAATACTATATACTATATACTAGAATACTATATACTACATACTATAATGCTATCTACTACATACTATATACTATGTACTATATACTTTATACTATATACTATATACTGTACTATATATAGCCCATCTTCCTCATGCCTCTGCTGTGGAGCATGAGTCAAGCCGCGAGGCCAGCGCGTGGATACCAACTCCTCCGAGCAGAACGACAACCCCGATGCCGGTGAGTGGGAGACCTAGTAACCAAGAGAGCAACATGTGATGAGGCTTGCCGGATATTTAGCCTGTTCGCGACCGCGGCTTATTTATGCAAGGCAGAGGTTCGATGTAGTTGTTTTCAGAAGGGCAGTATACAGTCTGCCGACCATCTGCGAGTGAGTGGCAGGAGTTCGAAGTCTGTTGGGCAAAGTGTGCAACCGTCCATCGCAGCTCTTCTGTATGTGTTTCTCCTAGTCATTCGCTTCACGAAACGAGTCCCAGCAGAACGGCACATGCGGCATCATTGGTGTGGGACGTGTTGCTACCGCAGCTTTGACATAAATGAGGAAAATCTGTCCACGACTTCTGGAACCTCAAGCGACTTGACAGTTGAATCGTCGAGAGGTCCGCAGGTCTTTTCCTGGTCGGTGCAGAGCTCCGTCCTCTTCTCAGCAGTTTCCCTCATGCTCTGCTGCAACGAGAACGGATCAGTAGGAAGCCGAGGGTCACGTGTTTGTGGGTAGACTCGTGTAGACGTTGGGGCTGAGGTGCCACATGCGAGGGTGCACTGTGACATTGCACACTTGTACTCGTCCCTCCAACAACGATTTTCATCGCTACCATACCGGATAACTAGTGTAGTGATGGGCGCCCCAGGCTAAGGGCCAGCTTGTAGGTCGTAATTATTTTGTAGTTGGAACTTCAGCAAAAGGATTCAATTCCGTTTCCAAAATATTTCCAAAAGGTAGTTACAACACGAGTTCGGGATAGGCTTGCAGGCTCACCCTGGCGGTTCCTTCCACATCCCCGCCCGAACCGCGGCAGTGGCCGTGGCAGTGGTAGTAGGTGGTAGCAGTAGTGGTAGTAGTAGTAGTAGTAGTAGTAGCAGTAGTGGTAGTGGTAGTGGTCGTGGTCGTAGTAGCCGTCGTCGTCGTAGTAGTAGTAGTAGTAGTGGCAGGAGTAGTAGTAGTCGTCGTCGCCGTAGTCGTAGTAGTCGTAGTCGCAGCAGCGGCAGCAGCAGCAGCAGGAGGAGGAGTAGGAGTAGGAGTAGGAGTAGGAGTAGGAGTAGTAGTAATAGTAGTAGTAGTAGTAGTAGTAGTAGTAGTAGTAGTAGTAGTAGTAGTAGTAGGAGTAGGAGTAGAAGTAGAAGGAGTAGTAGGAGTAGTAGGAGTAGTAGGAGTAGTAGGAGTAGTAGGAGTAGTAGTAGTAGTAGTAGTAGTAGTAGTAGTAGTAGTAGTAGTAGTAGTGGTAGTGGTAGTGGTAGTGGTAGTGGTAGTGGTAGCAGTAGCACAACGAATGGTCGTGCTACTTATGCCTTATGCTTCGTACCATAAGCATGAAGCTGTTGCCACAGCTGAGGCTGTTTCCCTTCTGTTTGATGCTGCGTCTCTTTATTATGCGTATATTCGGTTAGAGATTTGCTGGGGCGTGAATCTTCTTGCGAGGTCTGGACATCTTCCCAGTGAGTCTCAGCACGCCTGCCTCTGCCTGCGGCTCATTGATGTTCTTGTCAATATGGCGAGCTTTGTGTGACACGTCTTTGCGGGGTGCGCTGGCCATGCCAGAATTGCTACGACATAGGCACATTACCGGCGCCGGCCTTTCGTTGTGTGTGTGTGACTGGAGTTGTGATCGTGATCATGATCTTCATCGTCGTCGTCGTTGTTGTGGTTGTGGTTGGGGTGGTCGCTGTTGCGGTTGTTGTTGCTGCTGATCGTAGTTGTCGGTGTCGTTGTCGTAGTATTGTCTTGTTCTTCAGGTCGCCTGCCAGATGTCTGATGCCAGCTAGTTGTCAGGTCTCACAGGAAGACGAAGCATCCGCAGGTCCGACAAAGCCACGCGGAGCTCTCGCAGTAGGGCAGTAGGACAAGTAGCTGGCGACTTTTCCATCCCACATACCCATCATAGAGCTCCACAGGACTGTCGAAACAATTGAAATGGCCGAGACCAAAAACTTAGCTGTACGCCTGTAAGCTTGGGAACGTCGCGGCTGACATGCTACGTCCCGAATAGAGGGGCCATGGCATCGTGAGAGCTGCAAGAGTCTGTTTGAGGACGGAGGTATGATAGGGGCCTAAATAATTGCCAAAACTAGTTTGGGGTTGTTCCTTGTTATAGTTAGTCTAATGGGCCCCAAAACCCTTTTCTAATCATGGAGGGCCCGCACAGTATCGCCCCGATGGTCCTTGCCCCGAGGTTCTTGCAGAACTGCCTGCGGCCCGCTCCGCCCTTCGTGCCGCCTCCAGCACCAGCGCCGTGCGAGCGGCGGCAGCTGCCGCCTTGCGCATGCCCGAGGAGCAGGCGACGGCTTGAAGGGGCCCAGTAACTGTAGGGGCCTTAGTTATGTCATTCATACTTAGAGTATATAGGGTTTTGGGAGGGGGGTATTATACTAGAAGTATAGTTTTATGAGCAGGGGACGGGGCCGAGTAGTTGAGCAGAGGTTTGATCAAACTGGCCCGGCTTGGGCGTAGTATCGTCGTATTTTGGATGCATCGTCTGCACGGGTTAGTAGTTTCCGTTTCGGATTCGTAGTAGTACGTACTCGTAGCAGTCGTATAAGTAGTATTATTATCCTATTAGTGTCCTATAGTAGTTCTCAGTATAAGGAAGTAGAAGCCTGGACGTCTACAGCAGACAGGGGTTTTCATCAACACAGCGTGCGTTGCAGGAAACTTCGTCCCGAACCCTTTATCTAAGAAGTTCAGCAAGGATGCCAGGAAACTGCGCGGCGCACCTCAGGCTCAGACATAGTTCGAGCACTAGGTAACGAACGTCAGTACCGCATGTTGTGACTGCAGCATCAAGATGCCTTGCAGTTCTATCGTACATCTTAATCGCTTCATGTGCTTGGAACTTTTTGGTGGCATTTCAAGCTTCGCAGGTGGCCGTGCTTCTCCACAGTCAGATGAACATCTCCTCGAGGCGCTTGGCAGAGAGCGAAGAGGCGCGGTGACAGATCCAGTTGCTGCTGCGGCGGTCGTGGGAGCACATTGCAGGCAGTGCCGGAGCGCACTATAAGGGCTTAAATAATTACCAAGACTAGTTTGGGGGTTCCTGATTATAAGTATAGCATAATGGGCCCAAAGCCCTATTCTAATTATTAAGGCCCTTATATCAGATTCTTGTTGTCCCCGGAAGGCTCTCTCGAACCTGACACTCTACAGCCTGATTCTGGGGCGCAGCAACGCGACAGAGGCAAGATCAGAAGAATGTGTTTCATGCTTTTACCTTCGGACATGATCCACCCAGGATCCATCCTTCTTTGTATGCCTTTGCCCATCAGTTCCCACGAATCTGGAGTAATTGGCGCATCATTCGGAGATGCCGGCTGCCGAGAGGACATGGTTAGGCAAGAAGGCTTGCAGGACTAAGACACCACATTCCGAGTGCGCGGCATGCAAAACGGCCCATCGAAACTGTTTGCAGCTTGACAGATGTGTCGTGTCGAACGTGCATGATGTCATGTAATATGTTGGATCGCATACTGGCGCTCCTGGATTGACTTCCTTCACATTTTCACTAGCAGCAGGCGCTGATGCGGTGCTGTATTTAGGACCTATAGTTAGCAGGAAAACATGAACAAAAGACATCATGAGAAGCCCGAGTGGCCAGGCTTTTGTCAAACCTTGACCGAGCCCTCCAGCAAGAATACATGGTCGAGTCTTTTACCCTAATTAGGGTAAAGGCGGCAGAAATGTCAGGAAAGCAGTGTGCATAGTCGCGAAGTCGTTGGTAATCAGTTCTAATCCTCGAAAGCTGAAAGCCACAAGATGCTAAGCAACAGGTGGGAGTTTCCCCTTATTTTGGGTTCCTCATAATAAGGATCCTACTATTTAGGGTACTATACCAAGATCCCCTATTTTCGGCAACTCCCAGGTGGTGCTGCAGATCCAGGAGCTGCTGGCTGGTGGCAGCCCTGCGCTGCTCTTCGAGGTCCTCCTGGTTCTCAAAGATTTTCGACCCACAGAGGGTGTTACAGTAGTCTACCTGCTGGTGCAGTACTATGAACAGCAGATGGACCGCTGACATAATCTGCCTGATGGCTTTGGAAACCTCGCCTACTTCCGGAACCCCAAAGGCCTGAGCCAGACGTGCAAGCCAACCAGGCTAGTGGCCATCATAGGTCGAGGATCTCGAGGCAGTGCAAGAATCTCGTACCGGACAGCGGAGTCCACGGCCTCAGACGTTGCGTTCGAGCGCAGATGTGGCAGGAGGCACTCCGGACCAGCCTTCCCGAGCTCTTGGGCGACCAGGATAGGGATGCTGAACTGTCCCTGCAGATAGGCAGCTTGAGTGCTCCTTACTTGTCATGCCTGCATCCACCACATCATTGCGAGTGGTCACTGGCTTCCTCATGATATTGGTCCATATTTACAAGCTGTATCACCGTCACTAAACTGCAGATCGGTTCCTCCTACTCCTGATCCTCCTCTTCCCTAGAATCCGGAAATATCCGTTCGTACTTCTGCTGTTTTCTTGGGAGACACATGTGGACCGCATTTTTCCCAGCCATTGGGCTCGGTGAGGTTGAGAGAAAATCGACGTCAGTTGCTGCCGTGGCCGCTGTAGTCAAGCACCTTCAATAGCATACATACCCTGGCACTGCGGATGCTTTCCCCTGTCCCGCTACCGCAGGCTCCTTCCTTGCTGGCGGCACTTGCAGACGAGGCCGGGCTCCCAGCTCCTAACTATATTGTATACTATATGGTAATACTGTAATATAGTATCATATGATACTATATAATGTTATACAGTATCAGTAATACTATATAGCATTACATAGTATCATATAGTACGATATTCTAGTACTAAAATCTACTATATCGATTGAGCAGCTCCCAGGTCTCGATAACGAAGTGAAGAGATTCGGAATTTCGCCACGTTACTGTATCGTGTTGCCTTGAAGCAAAACCCCCTAAACCCTAAACCCTCGTACTAGGTATTCCGACTGTAGCAATAGGGAGGAAAAGGGCCCTCAAACAAAAACAATGAAAACCTACGCCCCGATCACCAGGGCACTTCGGGCTGGATCTCATCTCTGCACAAGCTGCCGGACTCGGAGATTCGTCCGTGCACTCAGCGATTGCATTTGGGAGTTTCCGAAAATAGGGGACCCTAATATAGTATCTTGAATATTAGGATCCTGGTTATAATAAGGAGCCCAAAATGAGGCAGCCCAAACTTTCGGAAACTCCCACTTCACGGCCCAAGAATTCTGAAATTGAGATTTGCCTCGCGCTCGCGACCCCGGCCTTCCCAAGGCAGGCATGCCCTTTAGTCCCTTGAGGCTCTCGAACACACGAAAACCCCAACGAACGTTTATCAGCGCTCTTGGCTGCCGAGTCCTTACACTGGTGCCCTCCTCCGACTTTGCAGCCACCCTCCCACCAGAGCTGGATGGCTTCCTGGCCAAGGCCGGCCGGTGGAGGTGAAGTTACTGGTACATGTTTGTCTTTGTAGTATGCAAATATGATAAAGAAAAGAAATAGGTACCGACATAGCAACAGAGATCAGTTCGGCAGCCAAGTTCGCCGAATCGGCTAGCTGGGCTGGGATACCTCATATGGGTAACAGCACAAAAAACTGGTCTTCTGACATGCGTTCTCGATAGAGATTGCTAGAGATGCAGACGATGTCCACCCTTCCGATTTTAGATGCGCTAGAGCAGGACTCAAGAGTCTTGAACGCTCAAATCGTAAACTCAACACATCCCAAACCCTTAAACCCTAAACCCTAAACTTCCTAAAACAACCCAAAACTGCTTTAACAAAACTAAACTGCTTAAACAAATAACCCTAAACTGCTTTAAAAAACCCTAAACTGCAGGTCTTCCAAGAAGCAGAGGACGGAGGTGATGGAGGCGCCCTTGACGAGGAAGGCCCGCACTGTGACACGGTGGATTGCTGTCGCTGCAGCGTTTTATCTAGGGGCCTTAATAATTACCAATACTATTTTGGGGGTGCCTTATAATATTTATAGTATACAATATATACCCCAAAACCCTACTCTAATTATTAAGGCCCTTACAGTAGGCTTTACGACGGTTGAGGGCTTAGGCGGCCGGATTGCTGGGAGGGTTCATTCTAAAAAACGACGGCTGTTCAAGTTTGGGGCAGCTTGGAGATGCATCGTGAGCAATGCGCCAACCTGATTGCAAACCTGCCGGGCGGTACCTGCATACTGAATCATATTCTTTTGATATCGCCATGATGTTCACAGCTGTGTATCGAGCCGCCTATCCCGATTTCTTTGCAATGACTTGGTCATTCTCGCTGCATCTTGTAAGCAGCCACCAAATCCGGCACATCCTGCTCTCAACAACTTGCCCAAACAACATGTGGCTCGCACAAGGCTTCCCTTACACCGACGGCTTTCTGGACTTTCTCGAAGGCTCTGCGCCGTGATTCGTCGACAGAAGAGTAGTGACTGGCAGTTTGGCAGCCCCAGGCTGCTGGGCGTAAAATAGGGGCCTTAGAGTCATTACCTATGCTATTTGGGGCCTTCCTTATTGTAATTATAGTATAGTTTCATGGGCCCCAAAACCCTATTCTGCTCATTCAGGCCCTACATTGTGCATGATGCAAGGTTGTTGCAGGAGCTGAAACTCGGTAAACCGGAACACTGGAGCAGGCATATGGCTCCTGCAAGCAACCCGGATCCAGTTGGCAAGCAGGCCTGGTCCAATTTCGCGGCTGTACTAGTTTTGTCGAATCTGCATGCGCCATGAGATGGTAGGTTTGCAGACGCTGACGCAAACGGTCTTCACCTGACCTCAGAGAACGCTCCTATGTCAGGTTGGGCAGCGGGATCGCCACGGACATGGTGCTCACCCTCATCGCTTTCCTCATTGTTTGTTCTGTGCTGGCCCCGGACAGCTTGTTCTGCGCTTTTGCGTGAACGGGGGCAGGTCCGTAAACCGCGGTTGGCAATCGGTAGAAACATGTTGCGACTCTGCCAGGGAAATTGGAATTACTTTCAAGCCTTGCACAGAGGTCCATCTCTCAGGTGGAGACATACCACCTACCACTACGACGATGTCCACTCCTACTCCTACATCTGCTCCTACTCCGACTGCTACTGCTACTGCTACTCTCCTACTTCTGCTACTTCTGGTACTAGTACTACTGCTACTGCTACTGCTACTTTTACTGCTACTTTTACTGCTAGTTTTACTGCTACTTTTACTGCTACTACTGCTACTACTACTACTACTACTACTACTACTACTACTACTACTCCTACTCCTACTCCTACTCCTACTCCTACTCCTACTCCTACTCCTACTCCTACTACGACTTCGACTACTACTACTACTACTACTACTACTACTACGACGGCGACGACGACTACCAGTGCTGCTACTCGTAGTACTAGTACCACTACTGCTACTGCTACTACTACTACTACTACTACTACTACTACTACTACTACTGCTGCTGCTGCTGCTGCTGCTGCTGCTGCTGCTGCTGCTACTGCTACTGCTACTGCTACTGCTACTGCTACTGCTACTGCTACTGCTACTGCTACCACTACTATTACTACCACTACTATTACTACTACCACTACTACTACTACTACTACTACTACTACTACTACTACTACTACTACTACCACTACTACTACTACTACTACTACTACTACTACTACGATTACTACTCCTACTCCTACTCCTACTCCTACTCCTACTCCTACTCCTCCTACTCCTACTCCTACTCCTACTCACATCCTACTCCTACTCCTAGTACTACTACTACTACTACTACTACTACTACTCCTACTACTATTGTGCTAGTAAAATTCGATGATCACGAAGCATGTGTGCGGACCTCCGTCCAACAGTCAGACTCGGAAGGTCGTTTTCGCAGTCGCGGCCGTCCATTACCGCTGTTTTGTCCGGCCGCACGCAGCCTTTCAGCTCGGCCTCGCGGCAGCACAGACGGTTTCAGCCGTGGTTTCCGGTAGGGTTGCGGGATTAAGGCAGGAGATAAGGTCAACGATAGCACGCCGCGGTCTTGCATTCCCTGACAAGCCATGAGGAACGCTTTTTACGATGTGTTCGTAGCATCTTGCGCAATCTGGTCATAGCGTTTCTCCTCAGTTAAGAGCAAAATTTGGCACTCCTTTGCCTTCCCAGGCGGCTGGGACGAGACCTCGTACCGCTCTGTGTACATTATCCCGGACCGGGCTCCATGAAAAGCCTACAGTACTGGCATAGCTCGAGCCTCTCGTTGTCCCTAAACCCTTCGAGCATTGGGGCCCCAATCTAGGACTCAAGGCCACGCGCCCCCATGTGCCAACCCCGGGGCTACGGGACCGATTCCGCTGGTGAACAGGAAAAGTTTACGTCATGCAAAGCCCGCCATGACTCGACCGGCACTGACCACACAGCATCTTGTCTTGCTGGGGAGGAGAGCCATCGCTACAGCTGGGCGCCCTTGTCACAAAGCCGCTTTCGCCGGCTCCTGAGCTTTGGGGCAGGGCTCCTAAAGGCTGCTCTTAACAGCTCCTCGTACCAGCAGACTTTGCACCCCAGCTCCGCCCGGGACAACTTTTTCAGTCTGCATAACGGCAGGCTGTTCCGGCCACTGTTCGTAGTATCTGCTCGCCATCAAACGTATCTTGGAGAATCGACAGGCTGCAGCTACTCTTTAAACGAAAACTCACCTCGGCACAGTTCTGAATCCAAAATGCCGTAGTCGGTTACATTGTCGTGTCATCGCGACGTCTGGAAGCAATCCAGCAGTCTCGGTGCATGTAAATATTTGCTGGAAAGGCGCCCGAGGTGACATAGCACAAAGCCTTCCCTTCACTCTCCTGCGAGTCCATTTCAGTTCCAGGTGATGCGACTACTCTGTGCGCCTTGTGCTGCTGCCCCTGTCTCCGGATGCCTACCACCTGGTACCGCGGCGGCGTGCTACCCTACTGGCTAGGACCCGCCTGTCTGTGCCATTTTCTGTAGACCACTCGGCAGCGCCGTTGGCTGGCTCGCTTCTGTTGACCCTGGGAACTTGAAAGTGCGCCGCTGCACTGCGCTTGTCCAAGATATGAACCGTGGACCTGCGTGTACCGGAATTTCCGTGAGGAGTGTGTGCCTGCTGCTTCTTTGGCCCTATTTGCTGGCCATGCCTGGGGTGCACGATGCGCTCTCGTATGGCTGCCGCTGAGCTCACGGCACGATGCCTCTAGTTTTCAGGGTTTTGGAGTCGGCACGATTCTCCACTCTTGTTCAGACAAGAGTCTGGTTCGTTGTGTTAAGAGGCATACTCGCTGGAGAGCCAGTGGGCACGCGAAGAAAAAACGGATTTACCCTACACCCCTGAAGATCATCATCGGGTGTGTAAGAGGGTTTTGCAGCCTCCCTTGCCTACCCTCGGACTGTTTTGAGTGTCCGAGGCTTTGCTTTTGACTCTGAGGGTTTTGGGTTTAGGGGTTTTGGGTTAAAGGTTTCGGGGCAGGCAGTACTGTCCAGTTTTCTGACGTGCTGATAGCAGCTGATCACCTGACTTCGTCATTTGCAAGGATTTCTTACTTTGAAGCTTTAGCTGGCGTCGAGGCTGGGCCCAGGCACGACAGCTTCTTCTAGGCTTGCAGGTCCTTGCGTGAACTTGCTTGGCAGATGCTGGCTGGGCGGTTCTTAGGGGTTTAGGGTTGAGGGTCAAGACTTGCACCCGAGCTGTCATGATGCCGCAACAGCTCAGGTCGTTTTCGGCATTCCCGGATCGATTTTGTCCCGGCTCTACATTTGGCTTTGCTGCTGCTGTTGTGCCGCCACGCAGGACACGCATAATTGGTTTGACACCTAGCAGCTAAATTCTGCGTGCAAGCCACGCTCGATTGGACATGATTCCTACAAGCTGTCACCGAAGTTTGAATGGCTTCACGGGCTTTGAATTGTTTATGATGGCTCCATTCCGGTATGATCACTGGTTGTTCATTCCGAGTGACCCCGAAAAGTGGAAGCATGAGATCTCTGGTTCTGCGAGGCAGAGTGCTTCAATCTTCACGCCGAAACGATCAGAACGCGCCATAGGTTTCAACAGCGAAACTGCTTGCAGGAGTCCTTGCATGTGGACGGTGCCTTGCGAGAATTGCGTGAGGCAAGTCTCGGCAAAGTGGCCAACAATCGGTCATGTCACTTGAGCTCACCGGTGAAGCCACCCTGCAGCAACCCTTACTGCTTTGATTCGTAGATCCAGCCAGTTGGAGAGCGGATTTGACAAAGGTCACCGCTGCGTTGAAGCTACGCAAGCCGCAAACGTCCGCAAGCACATGCCAGCACCCTGCTTCTGGTACCCTTCGGTGAGAGGCCTCGAAGCGGGCGGCCGAGACTCGAGGGGAGGCCGGGCGGCCATCCGAGTCAGAGAGGTCGCTAGGAGGCTACTTGTAGGTTGTCACTACAACTTCGTAGATGCAAAAAGGGAGCGCAACCAGATCTGGAGTCAAGAGCAGCCTCGTAACTTTGCAAGTGCACAGAGTTTGCTTCGAGGGGTGAACGTTCTTGCTGCATGGCCGTTGAAGTCCGTGGCTGCTCTTCGTCATAGGGGACAGCTTCTTCCGCTTCTTCCGTTGCACACCACTCCACAAAAGGTGCAGAGCCAGCTGGAGCCTCCGCCGCCGCCACGCCCGCCTGAGCAGGCCTCAATGCAGGCCTGTGGTGGCAAACAGCAAGAAGTAGTTTCGTGCTGAGCTCAACCAACGGCTGACTAGCCCGACCCGATGCTTCAGGAAGGGCTCGGCAACCAGTCTTTTGACCCCGACACGGTTTGGCTGCCTCGCTCCCGGCCCGAAATTGTTGCGACCAAATGCACTGGACCACAGAATGCCCCCGGAACCAGGTTCTCGATGGTTGACACGAAACAAGTCGGACGCTTGCGTCATGTGTAGAAAACATGTATTCTGGATATTTTTTTGGTCCTTTGAGCTACGAGTGACACTGCTGACAACAAGCTTGAACAATGAACTCAAAGCGATTTCAGGGATGGCGAGTCCAAGCGAACCGGACTTAGGACTTAGTACCTCTCAGCCACTCCTTGCAATTCGCGGTCCCCGGCAGGCAGTTCCGTCGCGCCGACGATTATCTCAGCGGCTTCAGAAGGCCGCGGGCATTTCTGCAGATTTGGACCATACTGGCATGTTGACACAAAACGTGAAATAGGTCCATACTCGAACGCGACATCTGTGATTTACCATGGCCTCAGATGGCGCGCCGCGCCGGACGGCTGTCCCTTTTAGTGTGCCTTGGAGAGAATTTGATGACGCAGTCCGGGGTTGTCAGACAGGATCACGGTCTGCACTGTCCTTCATCTCGAGGTCCTTGACGGAGCTTGTGCTTCTGCGCTTTAGGGCATATCGCCCTCTCAAAGTCTTGCCAATAGGCCAATGGCTCGTAACCCTGGTACTTTCG